AAATAACTTATACTGTGACGCGATAGAAATGCAATTTGTAAACCTAAAGTCAGAGCCGTCGAACAGTGTGCCGTGGTCAATAACAAACAAGGATAATAAAGATAGGAAGAGAAACTCGGTGGAGAGTCGAATAGTAGCGGTTCATAGATTAATGCAGAAACAACCACCCACACCAGCTAAAGTTAAAACAGAAACGACGAAGGGGACGGTACAGAAGCCGATCAAAGTTGATGATATTGCTCGCGAGACTATTAAACGAAAAAGAGGAAAAGCGACGAGTGTTGCTGACGAAGACAGTGAAACGATAGTCATAAATAATGAGTTGGAGGCAAATACGGACGATAAACCGCTACTGAAGAGTAATTCGAGCAAGACGTATGGTGACGAAGAGGTACCGCGGCCTAAAAGGGGATGACCAGTGAACATAACTGTTAGTCGGTGTTGGGTTATATATCATAAAATTGGCAGAGAGCCTTATATTTTTTGACTATCTGTATACGAAGAACCGTTACATTATCAACTAGCGGAGTGTTATATTTAGTCGGAAGAAAATCGTAGCATAGTATATAGTATATAACTACGATAAGATTTTCTGTACAACAATGTGTTATTACAAACATTGTGAGCGAGGTTAATTCATTATTTAAAAAAAACGTTTGTTTGAAAGACAAATTAAGGATGATCGATATACCCTATTAAATTGAAATTGTAACCGTTGCGTATTGTTTAGTATTACAGTATTATTGTGTTAAAATTCCCAATTTATAAATCTTGTACTCCTGTTATAATTCATATAAAATAGACGCGAACATGCAATTTTTTGCACTCTAAAATTTATCTAATTCCTCTTAACAAAATTTTATACAATGTCGACTCATACATTTCACGTATACAGGTTTGCACAACCAGATTCGTCGGAACCTCGAGCAAGGACCCGCAGTAGTTATGGAAACTTTAATGGGAGACTCTCATATGGATCTGAACAGACACAAACAAGACGACAATTATTTGTCCGTTAGCAATCAGTCAACTTCGTTGAAAATGTAACTAATCCTGAAGCAAGAACAGATTTATCCGTTTCTCCTTGGCGTCCCAACACGCGTTTGCGTAAACTACACACGCAGTTTCAAAATAATATTTATAATTAACATTATAATTAATGATCTTCGTCATTTGAACGCATTTAAATACTATACTTTAATCCACAAAAAAAAATAGCCCTCGCTGATTAGAATTATTTGGAGAAATCCCTTAAGATGTAATTATGAGAAAGCATAATTTTGCTTTTATTGAACACAAAATACAAATATGATTCCAACATTTTCTCTTGGAATGAGGTTCCCACAGCGAAATACATTTTGGCTTAAATTTATCCAACGGTAAAAATTCTAAAGGCCGACCGATGAAATTGGGCGGCACACTACACACGTCTAGTTCTAATATAAAAACAAATGCATCGGTAATCTTGGGAATGAAAGACCTTCAGTGTCAAATTCAAAGAAAGCAAATCGCTTCTCTAAAACAGCCTACTTTAGAAACTTTTTATAAAAATTGAATTATCTATTATATTACATTTTAAAACAGTTTGTATTAGCTCATAACATGCAAATAAAAGTACGTTTATTATTTATTATTATGATAAAGTCGGATACTCGTTAAGTCGGATACCTCGTTAAGTCGGACACAGGAGTCCGCCCCGATGAGTCCGACTTATCGAGTTTGCCTATGTATATACAACTATGAACACATTTGAGGTATTGACCGATTTAGGTCTTATCGAGAAATTATATAGATTGGCCGACTTATCGAATATTTTTAAATAGTGAAAAAAGGGGCTGAAGAC